AAAATTTAAAATTTTTTTTTTTAAACCAAAGGCTTTTGTCTTTGTTAAGCTATCAAAATTGTTTGATACAACTATGTTCTCTAATGTTTCAATAATAATATCTAATGATATCCATACAGATTTTATGCTTTCTGCTCTAGCAGTCCATCTGGTTTTTGAGAGGTTTCTAAGCTGTAGACTTCCTTCAATTTCTTTCATACGGTCTGTTAAATCTTTAGATCTCTTAGTACTTGCTGAAAAGAATACATAAATATTTTCAAGTACACAAATTAAATCACCAATTATAGGACTAGCATCGCAACTGTGCTCTAAAAATGTATTCATCCTATGGGCTTGGCATGGAATATATGGTACTGAATGGCTTACAAATTCAGTAAAGAAATGCTGAGCTCCTTTGTTGATTCCACTCATATTACTTGCATAGTCATACGATTGAAAAGCTACATTGTCAGTGTTAATTTCATATTTTATGAGACAATTATAAATAGATTTTGCTGTTCCATATCCAGTTTTATCTGTAGATTCGACTATATCCAGTAAACGTTCATTTGTTATTCCTTTTTGATCAACATATCTTAAACATACAGCTAACTGATCTTTCATTGATATATCTGGTGTAGTATCAGCCATAACTGCAAACAACTCTGAATTCTGAATTTCTTGTATGATAATTTGACGATTTTCTGCAGCAAGTAGCTCAATAAATTCATTTTGTGACTTTGATCCAAGGTAAGTTACATGATAAGGTCGCATAGATTTATCACTTAACCATCTTTCCATTATAGGATTATGCCGGGAAAGCAATAAAACTATTTGATAGAAATTTCCATTTTGAGTCTCATTTTCTTTTTCATTATGGCTGCGAAAAGCTAAACCTTGTCTTGCTAATGTACGAGCCACATCAACCAACATTCCTACAGCTTGTCAATTAAATTCTTGTTCATTTTTTTGACGTATTGCTAATTGTCGAGCAGATTTATTGAAAATAAAATCAATACGACTTGACTGACTAATAAA